ACAATTCTGCCTGAACAAGTCAACCTGCTCTGTCTGTTGATCTTTCATGCGGCAAAACAAACGCAAATTGGATTCGGGCTGCAGCCAACGAAATTAATGATGATTCAGTTACTGGATTGGTCTGTAAAATGTCAGGAAATCAAAACAAAAAAATTGGGATGATTGCTTGACAAAGTTAAAGCAGACGTTTGTAATTATCTTATTTTTGGAAAAGACCCAAAAGATAATCACTCTGCGTTCATGGAGGACCACAGAAATCAGCCCACGGTAGACAACAAATGATTTACTTGGTTGTTTAATTTCACTCTTGAAGTGTGTTGGGAACGCGAAAGGATGTACTGGTGTTATGCGTAATTACTCGACATCGGGACAACTACAACAAGTTCGGCGTCACTTTTATTAACAGAGACGGTTCCCTGTTTTCCAAATTAGCTTCATACTGACTTCCGAGTTTGGTGACTTGCTTGGAGGTCACGGCCAAGAAGAGGCGCGTGATTGCGATGCCGAGCAACCCCGTGACACCACCGCAGAGGATCTTTTTCTAATTCTGCTAAATGTCAACGAGCACCCCACCTTCCCTCCACGTGCCTCTGCCAAAAGGCCAGTGCTAAGTCATCTGTTTACTCCAATACAGCTGCTGCCTGTCACCCACCACTCCCATGATGCTCTTTGCCATTTCTGACATCTCCCACCCACGCTACATTAATCAGGCACTGAGTGGACCTTGGAAAACCGAAAAGGATTTCTACGTACAGTCTTGGACTAACTGACCACCGATATGAGGGGCAGACATATCGCTTGACTGACATCTAAAAAGGACTCTGATGGTTTTCTGTCCAGAATTCAACCACAAAATCCAGTTTGACTGCACAGCGTGAAATATAGTTAGCGTGTCTGTCAAGATTAGACTCACAAAAAAAGTCTCAAGAAGCCATGTCTGAAAAGACAAAATAGTCAGCCATTTTGACTTGAAGCGGCCATTTTAGGGTCGATTTCCGGGGTCTTTCCAAAACACTCCTGTTGAATTTTTTTAACCCCACCCCTCCCCCACAACCACATTTGAAGCATTAACATGAGACGTACGGAAGATGCTAAACTGTGAAAATATGTATTTTCTTTTTTTTGGTCATTGAATGTGGCTGGAACATGATGATGGCGAAACTTGTCGAAACTGTAACAACTCCAATTTTAATTGGATTTTACCATTGAAGTGAACTTCAAAACACAACAGCGTGAAAATTAATAAGAATGCCGCTGAGTGACAGGCGTAATCAAAGCGTCAAGTCAAAGTTGCGCTAATTGATTTTAGGGAAGCAAAAAAAAAAAAAAAAAAAAAGCCTGACAGTCAACGGTGCCTCATTAGCATCAATTTATTTTAAGCAGCATGCTCAGGGAAAGGTGACAATTCATTTTATCATTCTGACCTTTTTTTTCGCCGTCATTTGCACAAGTTTGCCATTGTACAGTTTGAAGATTTTGCTGACTTGGAGAGAGCCAAAAAAAAAAAAAAAAAAGTGTGGTTCAGAGAGGTGATAATTGTCTCCCAAAGGTGCCGTCTGTCAGCGGGGTGCTTTGTCTTATTTACTGCGGTAGTCACTGTCCTGTGTGGACCATTTGGACCCATTTCATCATTCCCAAGCAGGAAACGTGCAAGTTTAGCAACAAATCAAAGTGAGCAACTTGTCCAAGGGGGACTATTTTTCAACCCCCCCAAAAAAAAAAAAGCTAAAACTTAACCCACAAAGATGCGCTTTTTAAATATATTTCAAGGTTTCCCCAACCAGTTTTTGTCCTTGTTATTGATTTGACTGCAGGTTCTCCAACCGGTTTGCATCAAATGTTGCTGTCTATTTTTTTTCTACATTTGATTGGAGGTTCTTTAAGCAGTTTCCACACAACGTTGCTCTTTGGCTAGTTTGTCTCTCTATCTGCTCTTAAGATGTGTAGTGACTGCTGGCATTCCACATAAGTCAATAAAATAATACGGCTAAACAATAAAGTTTGACGGTTTGAACAAAAGTGGCTCAAAAACTTTTTCAAATGAAGCTTTGCGGATAATTTAGTAAGGCAATGAGCGTCACGCGGTTTTCGTATTGGCATTAACGAGGCTCCGCTGAGAAGACGGAAAGCGGCGAGAATAAAAGTCGGCGGACATTCGTCATCCTGTTCCCGTCGCTGAGGGGAGGGGGGGAAAAATGCACGCAATTTACGAGCGGGCCGCTTCAAGCTTTGTTCCTCGGCGTCGTAAATTTTTTTTCTTTGTGTGGCCTCGTCCTTCAGGAGCCGCCCGGCGTCACAAGAGTGGAAATGGCGAGAAGCGGCCATGTAATTTTCTAGTTCACGTTAGCAATCTGCACAAGATCAGCAAGCTCATTTCCTTCCAAAAGCTTCACGTGGAGCCACGTATTAGTGTAATAACCGAGCTTTAGTTGCCATTATGCTTAATAGGTAGTCAATCACATGCTGATTGTTCAGAAGGTGCCATTAGCGTCCCCTGCTGGTTCCTCACACGCCGTAAGAAAGACAAAAGTTGGATAATTTCGAGACACAGGATGTTTTGGATAATTATTTTATTTGTAGAAAAAAAAATCTCAAATGATTAAATTATTACTTTCAAAAATGTATTTTTATATTCTTCTATCTTTTTTTAAAATGTAGTTTTCCATGAAAAATAGTTTTTCCCTTGTAAAATGGAGTTGTAATTTAAGTGAAATGTATTTTTACATTAAGAAATAGCTTTTTTTTTCTCAAAAAAATCTATACTTTTTTAATAGAAAGGTCTTTTTTTATAACAAAAAAACTGATGGAGGAAAAAAAATCTTACTTCATATTTGTGTGAGAGCAAAGTTTTTTTTTTTAAAGAAAAAATATTGATATTTTGAGAATGCAGCTGTATTTCTTCCTAAAAATGTTTTCTCAATAACTTTTTTAATGTATATTTTTGGAGCTCTTAATACAACAGTTTCTCTAAGATAAAAAAAAAACAACCAAAATTGCTTTTTGATTAAAAAAAAAAAAAAAAAATGAAGAAAAAAAATTCAAGTAGAATATTTCTTTTTTTGTCGAAAAAGCCCTGAGAAAAAGTACATCTTCCAAGAAAAAAAGAAAGTAGTATTCAATCTCGAATTTATTTTCTTAAAGTAACATTTTAGCAACAATAATTGTAGCGGAAGGACAAAAAGAAGTAACTGCTGTTAGTTTTTAAAAAGAATAAAAAAAACTTACCTTTGATGTATCCCTCCATGGTTCCTTCTCATTCTCTCTGTGAGCTTGAACCCTTTAAGTCAAGGTAAACACACAAAAAAAAGGAGCAGAAAATGCAAAAATAATACATACAGGGAGAGTAGAAGATAACGTCTCGCTTGGTTTTCATCCGGATATGTGATTCTCCCCCCACGTTCTTCCATCGCAGGCGTGTCAGATTGCGAAGGGTCGGCTGGCTGTAGATTTATAATTTTAGGATAAGAAGAGCGGGAAACAATCGGCGTCTCATATTTGTTTGTGTACAGTTTATTAATTCACTGGATGGGATTGGTCACACCCCACATGTTCAGGGCTCCTTTTAACACATGACGCACGATAAACACATTTTTAATATGTGACAGCTTGCAACATGGAATAAGTACAGTAAACCCCTTAAAATCTGTCAACAAAAACTGATGCCCACCCCTCCCAAAAAATTATTTGAACTGCCAATATAATTGCATAAAAGGGAACTAAACCCCTCCCACATTCTTTTTTTCTTTCTAAGTTTACATTATATGTGCCATTTTGATGAATTAACTCGAATTTAGGCACACAATATTAGTCAGAATATCGTATTTTAAGTGCTGGCGACACACAATGGATTCTTAGGAAAAAATGTTTTGGGGTTTACTTCCCCTTTAAAGTCCCCAAATTGTAATCCCAAAACACTTTCACATCCTTACTGCAACATTAGCTGAAAAAAAAAAAGTCTTACAGATGATTTGGTTTGGCAAAGATACAAAGACGCTGGTGTGTATGTGGCCTTAGCAAACTGTAAAAATACAGATTACTACTTTCCTATTAGCCAGCGCCTTGCCGGCATCTTAAGGCCATTACATGAGGAAAAAAAAAAAAAAAAAGTGCAGATTGCAGCCAGAAAAGAAGTTCAGTCGCTCAGCAGACAGTTGGCCCAAAAATGATGATTTAGTTACGACGAATGACGTAATGTTTGTTCATCTAACTTATGCCTGAGATGTATCGTGACAGGAAGAGCAATAAAATGTTCTTCCAGTGCATGGCAGAAGGTATTTAATGAAGATGTTGATGCTGTTCGTACAACAGACTTGAGTAATCCCTCATTTATCACGAGGGTTACGTTCCCGATTTTCGCCGCGACAGACAAAATCTGCATAGTAGAGATCGTCTACAGTATTCCTTTTGTCATTTCTAGTTTGAAGCTTCATGCACTGTGCTACCAAGTCTACTTGTACAAAAAGGAAGCCGATGCGGTGTCAACATTTTAGACTGGCAAACTCGTTCGAACGAGCTGGAAAACACGCATTTGAAAAGGAGGTTCCAACATATTGATAACGTGTCGGCTAAATGCTAAAAACATAGCATTCCCCTCCCTCCTAATGCAACTGGATAGTGATTTGCGCAAGTGCAAAAAGAGATTTAAAAACAATTTTTTTTGTTGTGCACACTTAACGCAATTTGTGAGGAATTTGAGAGCATGGTGACTTCAGTTTAGAGGAGTGGTTCTCAACTGAGGTCACCTTGGAGTCGCCCTTTCCTAATCGTTGCAAAGTCACGACCCATTTTTATAGAACTTAAGAACAATAAAGCATTTTTGTTGTGGTTTAAAAATAGCCGCTGAAAATCCATGTGCGGTGAGTTTAACATACCGGCAAAAGCATATGTGTGAATGGTTGTTTGCTTATGTGTGCCCTGCGATGGGCTGGAAAGCTTTTTTTTTTTTTTTACAGTTCAAGAGTGAAAACACACACTTGAGTTTCTTTTTTTTTTTTTTTAAATATGGTCTCTCTCAAGTGCAGACTTGTCAACCCTCACAGGCGCGTCTGGTACGTAACTCCCCGCGACGAGCAGCGGATCACTCGAAATCAAAATTTCCTATCAAGCCCCGCCAACTGATTGCTGATTGGCGTCTGCGATTGAGACGGAAAAAGCCACAGATGACAAAGACAACAAAGACAAGATAAAAGGCTGTCTGAGTGGCGTCCGAGTATTTACATGATTCCCTTTGAGGGAGTCGTCCAAGCTTCCCTGAACGCCCCGTCGCCGGCCTCCAAGTCGGGGACCAGGATGAGTCCGCTTTCCTCTTCCTCGGTCGCCCGTCAACCGGTGGGCGTGTAGGGCGTGTCGCTGTGGTAGTTGTAGTCGGGACACACCTTTTGCACCAGCTTGTAGTCGGTGCTGTGGAAGGTGATGAAGATGCAGATGACTTTGAAGGGTTTGGAGCACAGCCAGGAGACATGGCTCTGGGTCTGGTCCTGAGGGCAACTCTGCGACGGGTCGTGGGCGCACAGCGAGTTGCGGGTGCCGCGTTCCACCTTCTCGTATTCCACGCGGCAGTTGAACAGCTTGCTCTCCTTGCTCTCCAACGCCGTCTGCTGCTGGACAAGCAGATCCTGCTGATGGGCGTTCTGCTGCTGCTGCTGGTGGTGGTGGCGGTGATGGTGATGGACATGGAACTCCACCGCCTTGCTGGGCGGTACGAGCCCGACGGACACGTTGCCCTGCCCGGTGGAATTGTGTCGGAAGTAGACGCTGAAAGTACCTGGAAATGACACGGACTCTGAGCGGTAGTGGGAAGTAGCAAAGTATCAACCCTGATCCAAATGAAGTTGGGATCTAATGTCAATAAAAGCAGAGCACAATACAGTGAAACTCCTCTAAAACGAAACCTACATGGGCGAAAATACCCCCTAGTGTGAAAAAAATCTTCACGCAGTAACACCGTTCCCACTTTCCTACCCCGCATACAACGAAAAACTCCCTTCGATCGCTCAGTCGGCATTGCATTACAAACTGGCATCATTGTGTAAAGTCGGGAATGACCAAATCCAGTTCTTGAGATCACCCCCATCCAGCTCATTTGAATCAGATGTGCTGTAAAGTAATACTTCATGTCAGTTATGACAGTTTGTCGCTACGTGTCCAAATGCAAGTGAAAACTTGACCATGCAAAGTGAACGCCAGACATCAGCAACAACAAGAAACGTTGCTGGTTTCTCTGGCCGCGACCTCATCGGAGAAGAATTGACATAAAGTTGAAAATTTGTGTTGTGGTCTGACGAGTCCACATTTCAAATTGTTTTTGGAAATCATGGACGTCATGTCTTCCCGGCTGAAGAGGAAACGGTGCATTAATGCTGAAAGGTGCAGACAGGTTTTGGGGCACACTTGCTGCCATCCACGTAACGTCCTTTTCAGGGCCATCCCCGTTTATTTCAACAATGCCAAGCCACATTCTGCACGTTACAAGAGGGGGCCTTCGGAGTAAAATGGTTTCGAGTTTTTACTGGCCTGCCAGCAACCCAGACCCGTTCTTGTTGTTGTTTTTTTTTTAAATCAGTTTGAACATTAAAAAAAACGTCACCAAAAACTTGGTGATTTGGGGTTCTGGTTTGGATTCATGGCATTTCAATTCATTTTGATGGAGATGTTTTTTTTTTCTTTTGTAAATTGAGTTACGTGCTCGGTCACGGGAACTTAACTCTTAAGTCAAGTCATGAAAACATCTGGCCTGTTCATCGAGCCAATGCGGCGCTAGAGTACCGTTGCCGTGGTCCACGATCTTGCCGGTGATGAGCAGGTTGAGTTTGACCGTCTTGATGTTGGAGTGGAAGTCTCCCCAGCCGAACATCTTCTTGAACTTGCCCGTCTTCACGATGGGCCTCCTCTTGGCCCGGGAGCGTCCCTCCGAGGCCGAAGACACTGAAGAATTGGAAAGCCAGGTCCACTGCTTGGCGTCAGAGTCCAAATCCTCCTCCATGTGGAAGTCCAGGTCCACCGAGGTGAAGTTGTCCTTGCCATCCAGCGTGTGGGCCAGAAGGCGGCTGACTGACAGAGTTTGAGCCGCCTTGCTACTAGCGGACCAGTATGACTTCATTTTGGACTTGCCGTTTGCTGATTTCGAGTCAGCTTCGAGCACCTGGAGGACAAAGATGAACGTCACTTTTCAAAGTCGTTATTCAAATTAATGTACACAAACGTACATTTGTGGTTGATTTCTTCAAGAACCTCAACATGGAAGCTGCAGTTCCAAGTAACTGGACACAATTGTCCCGAGTTGAGCACAAGTGTCACAGCAGCTTGACTTTGTAGCTTCCTCTGTCGGCACACGTTCGCGCCGTCCATCATCACCCGTTCGAGAAAGCGCTGACGTTCGCCACCGACGCTTACGGAGCGCCAAACGTCTTTGGTGTGTCGTCTAAATCAAGACGGAGGTCCCCCCGATGATGTATGAGTCATCCCCAACAATCCCGCGGATGACAGCGCCAACTATGCGACGAGACCCTCGCCTCGACGTGACAGCAGATCCATCTGAGCGTAGCCTTCGCCGTTTTTTTTTTTGGTATCTTCGCCGGGCCGATCAATAGAGTGAAAATAAGGTCCTCTTTCATGCGGCTGAGGTGCATTGTGTGACGCCGTGAATGATCTTTCCCCGCGAAGGACGCGGCGGCTTTGTGCACTCGGACTTTTGGAGAAAGATGGCCTCCGGTTGTTTTTGAAGAGAACACCGTGATGGACGAGCCGATTGCCGTGGTAAAAACGTGCATAGATCTTTTTTTTTTTCCCCCAAAGGAAGTCACCGCAGGACTTTTTAAAAGTAAAATATTTGCGCTGGTGAGATGAGGAATGAATTGGAATGTTTTGTGGCTCAGCGGCACGATTAAACGATGTTAATGAAGCGCGGCTTTTGTCTCGCACGTGCTGGCCGCCATAATGTATTATCAGAAGATAAATTCAGCGGCGGGCGTCGGCTACGACTTCCCGCTCGGGATTTATGGCGCCATTACGCCTTGACATAAAGCTCCTTCAGGACGGACAAGTTCAACGAAGTGGCGTCTCGCAAAGTGCGGAGCAAGCAGCTGGAAAGTGGACTCTTCTTCATTTTTACATTAAAGTGACGACTTCAAACACACTATGTGCCGCTTTACAAAGTAAACATGAAGTAAAAAAAAAAGAACAAAAAGAAAAAAAAAAGCATACCAGAAAAATACCAAATTTAAATGTACAGTGGCAATATTTCACCGTCTCTTCTAATATTTCAAAACAGTATTTTATTTGTCCAGTTTGTACTGACAGTAATCCTCCCTCCATTGCGATGGTTACGTTCCAAACCACATCTGCAATATGTGAAATCCACATAGATGCTCTATTTAAATACTCCCTATGCATGTTTTCACAGCACGTACAACACAATATCTTTTTTAGGTCTTTAACGCTTTTGAGCATCATCGACATGAAATGCCATTAAGACATGAATGTTAAAAAAAAAAATCATAACTATCGCTAACAGTTGGCAGCATTGGATGACACTCTGAGGAGCTCACTATTTGTTGCTCCAAAAACATGGCGGATCCTTGGAAGTGTAACTGTTAGAGGAGCTTATGACTGATCAAAATGTTTGTCACATTAAATTTACTACAAAGAGTCTCACAAAAGAAAGAAAACCTGTAGAAGCGATGATGAAATGTTGTTGCGCACACACACACACACACACACACACACACGACTAAATACTACTACTACTATTCAAAATAGCCACAGGGGACTGTCGGGAGTAAATACGTATGAAATGGAAAAAAAGATTAGAATTTAGGTTGCATGAAGGTTACTGCTTCTGAGAGTGTCTGCTGGCCATGACCACTCGCCACTGGTGAAAAGTTGTACTTCAAATGGAGTTTGATGTCATTTTCTATTCTGAGTCATAAAAGTGATTCCGGAAGCTTCTCAGCTAAGTGGGTTAAGTCTCAACAGAGGCGCCGCCGTCACATGAAGGGATGTCAGGAAGCTGCTTTACACATGAACACACACACACACACACACACACACACACACACACACACACACATGCACACACATGCACACGCGCACAAGATGGCTGCCAAAAGGACTCAGAAGTGTGCCGGAAAAACTAGGGATGGGATTTCTCCAGATACGATGTCACACCTACGAGTTCTTCTTCCTGTGTGTTTGGGCGACACGTAATTAGCTGGCGTGTGGAAGCACACCTGACAGGATTAGCCGCACAATCGCGCGGTGGATTAGAGCACCAACCTGTAATCCCAATTGAGGGAGATTGGAACCTGCATGTGTGTGTGTGTGTGTGTGTGTGTGTGTGTGTGTGTGTGTGTGTGCCTCAAGGTGATTGTGTGGTGCTGTTTAAAGGTCAGCTGTCACACCGAGATGACTTTGCCAGGCCTGGGGAAATATCGATCGCCCTGGTTTAATGATGCCGCAGTGGTTCCTCCTGGCCAGCGGGGGCAGTAAGCAAAAATCTATTATGTTTTTATTGTGCACAGAAGTTGATATAGGGCACATTTTCAGGATATCGTGTGTACAGGCAAGTCAAATTTAGAGTTGAGCGCCTTGTGTGTCGTACCATGTTGAGCCACAATATGCCAGGCGGCAGTGAGCTCAACTGGAAGAGATGCAGCGTAAACAACAGCTGCTCTGGGTGTGTTCAAGTGGCAGTGTTTGAAGGTTTATAATGACTTTAACACCTTTGTTGTCGTATAAACAGAATGAGGTGAGCATGTTTTTCCTCTTTTATGGAAAGCGACGGGAGTGAGCGAGTCTTTATTCATGTTTCCTCAAAGTGATATTATCTCCCATTTTTTGATAGGAAGAACAGTCTGGTAACACCGGTCAACAAATATTTGTATTTTTATATGAATCTGAGATGCAACTCAACTTTTCTCAATGAATTTTCAGCCCTGAATCTGAATTTCGCTTTGTGTTTTCCCTGCAACATCAGATTGTCATAATAATAATGAGAACAATAAGTAATATCGTCACATTTAGTAATATTTATGAAGTTCAGCAACAAGTGTAATTGTTCTCTGAAACATAGCTATAAATTACAAGGCATGGTAAAATTCGTAATGCGCAAGCTTTCATAGGTCACTCTTAAAAACAGAAAAAAATGAAAAGATCTCTAAAACCTTATGTGCTAGAAAAATGTCAACGCATTTTTGAAATTGGCGTCACAAAATACAGTAATGGAAAAATACTTTTTAAGTCACCCAAAATTTCAAATATGACGGCACTTTTTTGCATGCAAATCATTTTATCATAAATTATAAATTATCATATGTCGTCGAGTACTTGTGTATTGGATATGTGCCTTTGAGGGGTGTGGCTTCCAAAGTCACATTAGGAAATGGAATTGTGTTAGTAAATGACATCAGCTCCTCGCGAGAGTTGTCACTTTGTATTTATGTGTTGTTCCGTTCAACAAACTAGATTTTGAATTGTCCTCACTCCTTTTAGATTTGAAAATGGTGTGAAGGCTGATCATCTTCGCATTTCCGCCTTTATCAGTAACACCGATTTTTAAGATTGTTTTCACTATCACCAGCGTTTGATTGAGATGACAGCTTGGCTGTGGAAAAAAAAAATGGCGTCGGATTTCATGCCAAAAGTCATGAAGCGTCTTGTTCGCCGTTGTGAGTCGCGAGGGCGTACGCGAAGGCTAGAAAAAGTTGTTTCATTGGGTAAAAGCGACAAAGACGAGTGGCAGAAATAATATTGATGGTGACAGCGGGAAACATCATCAGTTATCCGCCAGGAGACTCTCAAACGATCATCTGTCTCGCAAACGACCTCAAAGAACACCACCACGTGGCAGGCATTCGTGATGCCGAGGCGCACGTTTCCCAAGCGACAAAAAGGAGGATTTGACAACAAAAAAAAAAAACAAATATTTTTTTTTGTTCCATTTCACCAGTTCTCACATGTCAATCGAGTGTAACGCTCCTTTCAAGAAGAAAATGCTTTTTCATTCTTCTTGTGAACCAACTCTTAAATGGATGCAAATATTTGACAGAATGATTTGACCTGTCAGTTAACTCACTCCTGCACCGTTTTTACTTAAAATCAGATATTTATGCAGATATTTTTTTTTTGTTTTTTTTTGAGTTTTGAAATCTTAAATGACTGCAAACATTTCACTTTTTTTTGTGTTAACTAAGTCAGTTGTATAAATCTGCCATTTAAATGTGTGCAAAACATTACAGAATTATAAAACTTGGCTCAACTTTTTATGCAAAAATGTTTTTTTTTTTTTTAACCACCCAAGTGCGTTTAACCCTTTCGGGGACAGCTTGTCATGTGATCAGGTTACAGGGTGCATGAAAGGATTCAATTTTGATTTAATGGTTGACATTTTTTTTTACTTGTGTTAAGGGTTAACGCAACCAAGTCTGTCCTGTCAATGTAGTTTTAAAATTCAAAAATTTAGGCAAAAAGTTGAACCCGCTAAGTCATGTAAAATATCGCATTTTAAAATCCTCACTTAACGCAAGTATTTTGAAGGAAATTAGAACATAGTTGCACTTTCGTTCATGCCTATATTTTACAGAATTTTTTTTCTTGTGTCATTCAACTCAGCCTTGTGGATTTAGCATTTGAAATCCTGAAATGTTAACCAAACAACTCGGTCATTTAAATCTTGCATTTATAAAACTAAAATTTAGGCAAAGATTTTCCATCAGTGTGTTGTGCGAGCTTGAGAAAAAAAATGTATAAATCCGAACCTTAATTGTTTTTTTTTTTTTTTAACATGCATTGTTTCTATATTTTTGTAAAGAGCGCATTAACCGTCAGTCAACATTCGTTTTTAACAACGAAGGACTGCGATGATGTTCATTAATTTTATCGTAACCCATTCTGTGTTTAGCTTTGCTTTTGAGTCCTCTCTCTTTGTTTTTTTTTTCAATTGTATTTTCTCCCACACTTAAAAAAAAAAAAAAAAAAAGAAGCCAACATCCCTTCCAACAAAAAGTGTCATTATCACCGCAATGGAACATTTTATTGCTCAAGGCTTGGACAATTCATTTGCATTTACATTTAACGCAGCCTCGTTTACCGCCGAAAAGACTATTGAAGGGGGCTTTAATATTATTCCAGGTTTTTCCAGCTGTG